GGTTCAGCACTAAAAGGGAGAGCATGCCTGAGGTCACTGGGAACAGACAGATATGAGAGCTCAGCCATCCCCTTCCAAGTCCTGGCTGCTTCTGGGTACAAAGACCACGTGTGGCAAGCGCTTGCAAATGTATCAGTCAAACTGATGTAGACACCTGCATGTGACTCTCAGGACAGCAGTTTAACATCAGAGAACCTAGCACAGGTCAGAGTCAGAACAAAGGTGGCTCCACTGGCCGGTGGAGCTAAGCAGGGCATTTGGATCACTTGGGGCACCACAGTGGCACTTCGCCAAGAGACATTCCAGAAATAAGCAATAGCCAGCTCTCACGGCAGGGCATTTAGCGCAGTCAGCAGACGGCAGTGCGGGGATGGCGTCTGTAGGAAATGCCTCATGTTCCATGTAGACTGAATCACAGAACACGTGACCCAAGGCCTATGGGGTGAAAACCTGGCAAGCAGCACTGCTTGAAACAAAACAAATACTAGCAAATAAACAAACAGCGCAAATTACACAAAGAGCTAAGGACTGAGCCGTACTGCCTATCCAAATTCAGTCACGTATACATCATTTAAATTCATCACAAATCAAATCAAATGTGGCATTCTGAAACGGCTAAACATCTGAGTAAGTTATTGCCATTAGCAGTAAAGGAAGGAGGACCCACAGGAATCAGTAGTTTTGGGATGTGTAATATCCTATCAACCACTTTTATCATTGCAAACATTCTTTTTGGTCATTATTTTTCACTCTTTAATCAGCTGTTTGTACCACAAGGTATTCTTCGGCCATCTGTGTGCTGACTAGACTGCCACATTCTACAAGGTGACAGGGGCCCAGCTCTCACCGTAGGCAGGGATAAATATTTGCACAGGGTCACTGAAAGGTCCGACGCCCCCTCTTGTGACGGCTGCAATCCTCACTGTGCATGTGGCATTGTGAGCTTGAACAGAAATCTGGGCATGGCTGCCATTTTGGCCGACTTCTTCCAAGAACTCTTTCTGAAGACAGAGAGGAAAAAGAAATGAAACACTGAGACACAGGAACACACCACCTGCTTGCCTACAGTTCTCCTTAAGGGAAGCCATGTCACCCCAGAGGACTGCAGTCACATTTCCACAGCATCCCTCCCTCACTCGGGCCTCAGCCATTGGAACCAATGGCAGGCATGGATGCAGAATGGGCTCACAGCAACCTCAGGCCTTAGCAAACTGAAGCCATGAAGGAAAGGTACTTAAGAGCGGTCAGTTAAAGCACCAGCAGGTGGTGGAACCATTGCGTCACTGGACTCCCATGTAGTTAGTGGTGGTTCTAGTCCTGAACCTGGTGGCTTAAACCTCACACTGGGCTCATGTGCATATGTTCCCAAAATCCAGAGAGGAGAATGGAGGAGAAGGGATTGTGGCATGGCCATCCACCTGAGGGATGATTTCTTGCTTTCTGTCTCTATGGCAAGCACACGTGCCCTATAGCAAAAATTCTCTAAAGAGCAGTCACTTAGGAAGCTGCAATAACCCTGGGGTGCAGATGCGTTCACAATGCTGCTCTCCTTTCCTTTGATATACGTCTAACAGCGAGACTGCAAGATCACAGGGCAGCACAAATCTGTCGACTGGAAGAATGACTATTCTTAAAATGTGTGAACTATTGAAAGCAGTCTGAAGAGTCAATGCAGAATTTTAGACTGGGCTTATAGTGTACTGGTTAACTGCTGCTCAAAGGAAATCAGATCCCATAAGGCCAACCAGGGTTTGAGAACCAGCCCTGGCAGCTTGAGAAACATTCCACATAAATGCATATGCCCAGGATTCTGACGGGATGGAGAATCAGAGGGAAAAGGATAACCAGCCCCCACTGGGCATGCTCGCTTTTTCTCTCTGGTATAAAAAAGAAGGAAAGAAATGTATCTCGTTTATGTCAAATCCACTTTTGAATATGGGTTGGTTAGTCACTCTGTATTTAATTTGGGGGAGGAGCAGATCATCAGGTAGGGCAACTCCATGGCCCAAACTTCCACAGTCACGGAGGCCTGTGGTGACTCAGGCCTGTACTGAGCAGCTGTGATGGGTCTCCCACACAGGTTACGGTCTAATAGCTGCTCAGAGAACAAGAACGACTACCTCTGACAAGGACACAGCCTGCTTGTGGCTGCAGACCTTTTTTCCTATAAAGACAGAAATACATCATTTATGAGAGAGATTCTTTCAGAATAGGAAGAAATGCACAGCTAGGAAAGAATTAAATCCCTAAAAGAACAAAAATCCTAATAAAGAAATTATTTAAAAAAAAAAAACATAAAAGTTGTTTAAGATACCTATTCAGTTAGGGTCTATAACTCACTATGAAAGCCCAGGGAGGGATCAGCAGATGGCATAATGGTTACACCATTGGACTCCCATGTAGTCGACCATGGTTTGAGTCCCGGACCCAGTGGTTTGAAACTCACGGTGGGTGTGTACGTGAGTAGTCCCAAAATCTCAAGAGGAGAATGGAGGAGAAGGGACTGCGGCATGGCCATCTCCCTGGGGAGTGATTTCTTGCTTTCTGTCTGTATCTCTCCAGTGAGTGCATGCACCCTATAAGTCCCTTGGGGACCAGCACATAGCATGGTGGCTCTCACATGGCCAACCACGGTTTAAGTCCTGGACCTGGTGACTTATTTTCTCACTTTCTCTCTCTCTCTCTCTCTCTCTCGTGTGTGTGCGCATGCGCAACATGGGAGTCTATATACATATACATCTGGCATGAGTTTTAAGCTGCTGCACCTGGGACTCAAAACACGGTCGAATATGTGGGAGTCTAGAGACGTAACCATTACTCTATCTGCTGGTCCCATATCCATAGTGTTTTGAAGCCAAATATGTGCATTCATTATCCATAGCCCCAAATATTTATTTTAATTCTGACCTTGAACATTTCCAAAGAAATCCATTTAAGATCAGATGTATGCAGGAGCTACTCTGTGTGTATTATTTCTGGTGCTATCAGGAGACAGACAACATACAGGCCATTTCCTTGGCATGAGATTATTTTGCATATTTCTTATTTAGTTTTCATTTTTACCAACACAAGTTCTAACAAGCTCAAGACTTAAAAAGTCTTAGAGAATTTTCAGACAATAAAGTCCAGTTTAGGGTCCAGCTGGTGGCACATTGGGAACTCATTGCTCTGTGATGCTGGCCTCATATGGGAAGGTCCTGGGTTCATGTCCCAAGGCTTTCCTATACACACTTGGAGCTCATGTGTATGTGGGCTGGCTGGGGCTGGGGATGGATTATGGTGTGAAGACCTTGTGTGGGAGATGCCTATTTATCTCTCTCTCTCTCTCAAGGAAGAGATAAACAAACTTTAAAAATGTGATTTATAAAATGGTGCTAGATTGCAGCTTTACTTCTACACAAAATAAGACAATGAACCTTGACCATCAGGAAAGTAGTAACACATCTCCGGAAAGACAATTTCCTTTATTCTCATGTGTGTGCCAACTGCAGTAGTATTTGTTTTCAGTTATCAAAAGACTTTAATAGCCTCAGTTCACAATCCTGTAACTCACAACTGTATTTTAGAATACGGCCCACTTTATAGCCTCAAAGAGCAATAACACTCGAGGAGAGAACTATTATCAAGTTTCCGTCATGTGATAGTCATGAAGGTGACTTATTCAAAAGGGTTTCAAAGTCACAGGCATTGATGGGAAACTCACATTTACTCTTCAGGATGTGTCCTGGTCTTACTTCTTCCAGCTGAGAGGCCAGACTGTGGCCTTTGAATGAGAAATACTGTACTACGAAGAAGCCAAGGGAACCTGGAAAGGGCAGTGGGGCTCTGAAGATCATGGGCTTCGGAGTGAGCTAGACTGAGGTTTTCACTCCAGGTCTGCCAATTGCAAGCTTTATGACTCTGGGTGAATCCCTCAATGTCTCTGAGCTTGTTTGTCTAACTGGGAGTTGACAGTAGTATCTTTCTCAGGGTGTTATAGTGGGTCATTAGGGAAGTCATGACACATTTTTGCATAGTAAAACATTGAAAAATAGGTCTTAGCTTTCTCAATGATAGTAAGGGCTCAATGAGTTCCTTCATAGAAATACTTAGAGCACAGTCTGGCATTCTGGAAATAATCAATAGTGTTGTTGTTGTTTTTTTCCTTTTAATGAGAAAGTGAGAAAGCATGCATGCACACGAGTGTGGAAGAAGAGACAGAGAGGTCAGCTTTCCTATCTGCCATCTGCGGTAGGACCACCACCAAGATGCAGATTTTTGTAAAAACCCTGCCAGGGAAGACTATCACCCTCGAGGTTGAACCATCAGATACAACAGAAAATGTAAAAGCCAAAATTCAGGATAAGGAAGGAATTCCTCCTGACCAGCAAAGACTGATTTTTTCTGGCAAGCAGTTGGAAGATGGGAGTACTCTGTCTGACTGCAACATCCAAAAGGAATCCACGCTTCATCTTGTGTTGAGACTTCGTGGTAGTGCTAAGAAGAGTAAGAAGTCTTACACCACTCCCAAGAAGAATAAGCAGAAGAGAAAGAAGGTCAAGCTGGCTGTCCTGAAATACTGTAAGGTGAATGAAAATGGCAAAATGAGTCGCCTTCGCTGGGAGCACCTTTCAGATGAATGTGGTGCTGGAGATTTTATGGCCAGCCATTTTGACAGAAATTATTGTGGCAAATGTTGTCTGACTTACAAACCAGCAGAAGACATGCAATTGTTTATGAGTTAGTAAAAGAAACAGAGGAGAAGGGATTACGGCGTGGCCATACTCCCTGGGGGGTGATTTCTTGCTTTGTCTCTCTGTCTTTCTGGCGAGTGCACATGCTCTATAGCAAAAACCTCTCCCAACCCCCCCCCCAAAATTTTTAATTTGAAAAATGAACTAAACTTTTTTTTTTTTTTTTTTTTTTTTACAGATAGATGGATACTTTTCGACTGGATCTCACCACTGAGATCCTCTGTCCCACCCTCTCAGACAGCTAAGACTATGGGCAGATGCTCCTGTGTTCAATCTCCTTAGGATGGTTTGGGATCCAAACCTGGGCCTCCCATGTAGACCCAGCCTCAAGCAGCAGCACCTTACTGCCTGTGCCACGAGAGCTGAGCCAATGGTGACTATTTTTATCCCTGTATTGTGTCCAAGGGCTGTACTTGAATCTTCTTCCCTGTAAATACAGAGCCCTCTTATAGAATTGAACTTGTATCTTTCAAGACTTTGTGCATTCGAGGAAATCAAGGCTGTCTAGTTCCCCAAACCAAGAAGTTTACTCAAGCCGTTCCTCTAGTTAACCTCCATTGAAGGGTTCTCCACCAGACAATGTGCCATTCTTGATTGGTCCCTGGGTTTTAAAAGTGGTTCAGTCCCTTGGTTCATGAGAACCTTGCTTATTCCTCAAACCTTAAAACGGTACCTGCTCAAATGCTCTGCCCTCCTCTGACAGTGAGTGGAGAGAGAAAGGCAGAAAGGAGGCATACACCCACATGAGGGCTCACATCTCTGCCTCTCTGACTGCACGTGGCAGGCTCAAGAGGGGGAAGAGGTCTATCTTGGAGCCTAGAGCCCAGATGGACTTGTTTGTTCATTCCCAAACAGTGGTAGGGAATCCTGAAGTGCACTGCAGCTTCCCTGGGTCTTTAAGGAAGTCAGTTCTACATATTATGTTGTCTTAAGGCCATAACGATCTCTGCTATGAGACCTCTTTCTAAGCTAACATCTCTACCCTTTCCAAACACAGGTTAAACCAGCATTTGAACCATAATCTCACGACAATGAGCTCCATAAAAACTACACATATAAAAATAAGTCTGTCTAACATTGGGCAATTCTGAGGCAAAGTTAAACAGACTTATTTCCTGCAAAGCATCGAAGAGCCTTGAACTTGCCCCTATATATGTGGGTCTTTGAGAAGGGAGTATAATATGTAATACATAAATTTATTTGCTCACCAAATCCTTTTCTTATGGATGGTCTACTGACACTTCATGAGAATAGGAACGGGGTGGGAA